TTTTTTTAAAGTTATATAATATTTCACATCAAAGTGAGTTTGAAATATTTTAATAAAAAAATAATCTAAAATTCAATAATTCATTTTAATATATATTCAAGCTCTATAAAAATAAATTATTCTTATAAAAATTCAAATTAAAATACTTTACTTGGAATATAAATTCTGGTCATTATTTTATTCTTATATTTTATATAAAACAATTCAGTTTCAAAAGGAAATGAGCTTACATTTTTTTCCTTTTACTTTAATATCAAATAATTATAACAGAGAATATCTAATTTTTGTATTATTACTGCTAGAGGATGTTAAAAGCAAAAAATTTTATAAGAAAAACAAAATGTAATATCAAAAAAACATGAAGCAATTTTATAACTATAAATTGTTGCCTATATCTATAGAATAACAAAAGTAGCAAACTGGATATTACTATCTTATTGCAGTAAAAACACCTTTTGACATTTAATGATTTCAAAATAATTTTTTTCTTATTTCAAGATAGTATTTTAAAATAAAAGTAAAAGCATTAATTTAAAAAAACAAAATAGTATAAGTTTTCTAATATATTTTCAATATAATAAAATTGTATTTTATAAAATTTTATACTCTAATTATCCTTACAAAATAATCTGATTTTAAAATTATAATCTAATGTATAATTATAATCTATCAGTAAAAAAACAAAGGTAACTTCCTCATATTTATTTATGAATTTATTGCACATTTTTTTCATTAAAAATTGTTTTTTTTGTTAAAAACAGTAATTGGTATGTGTAATGGAAAAGTTGAATAATATTCTCATCATGTTTTGCAACTTAGCTAAATAAAATTCATATAAACTGTATATAATTATCAGGGCAAAGTAAGCTTTCAATTTAACAACTACATAAAAATAAACCAAATATTAATGAAAATTCCACAGTTTTGCCAACTAATATTTCTATCTCAAAACTTCTACCAAAAGTTGCCAAAATCAGTTATAAACACACCAATACACACAGGGATGCCCATACATTGGGGCACTTGGAGCACCTGCACCCTTTTCACCCGAGTTGCTCTTTTCTCTTTTCCTTATCCCCAAGGGGACCCTAAATTTCATCATCAACAAACAACAGAAAATTCATGACTTCTGGAAAGTCTATTCTGCAAATATAAAAGAAACTAATAAACAATATTTGTCCATTGCCCCATGCAACTATTTTTATGTAATTACTTATTCATCATATGTTGACCAAAACTGCATTTCTTGTTTTACAAGGTAAAGTTAGCCTCAAATCCTTGCATAATGTACAATGCCCCTTTTTCATAGCTTGTCCCTCCTTTTCTATTAGTCTGCAGACATAGCTGAATACAAACACAAAAAAACTATATCAGTGAACATTAAAAAGTATTTATAGATTTATGTATAAATTTATATTCAAACCATACTTACAGAAGTAGAAAGAAAATGAGCAATTACTTATTGTGGCGTTGTCATAATGCCAAGCTCCAATTTTTAATCATGTTTTTAAATATATTTAATTTAAAACATATTCTCTCCATCTCAAATTAGTAGTGTCTTGTACAGTACATAATACTTTTTCTGTTAGCAAGCTTCTGTACACCATACTTTTCCTGTTAGCAACAGAGACATGCCATCATCTATTTAACTCCTTACAGGGAAAAATTTTTTAATTGAAATAATGTGACTTCTGGTTTGCATTGGAAGTTCATATATAGTTAATCAGGGCCTCCTACTCCTAAGCTTTCCATATCTGGTCTTGGATTTCATCTATCTAACTCTGTTCTTGAGATTATAGAAAGATGGACAGACTGGTGACAGTGGGAATTTATAGGTCCACAATTTTTTCAAATTGCAGCTCAACAGATACAGCTTCTTATTACAACTTCACTAACAGGCAAGCTAGTTAGATAGTGTGAGGTGTATCTCTCATATCTGTGTATGTGTCATGAATTTTTAGGCCAGGTTTTTTGTACTTGGAGGGACTGGACATAAAAAAATAAACTTCATTTTTGTTTTTATTGGAAGCAAATGCAAGCTCTTGAAACATCATTTACTTCATTTATGGTTTGAAGATTTCCCTTGTAAACTAACTTGACTCAGTTGCCAAAAATCTTAATTACTTTGAACATTTAATATTGCTAAGCTAACACTTATAAGTAAATTACATTTCTTTGTATTATTATTATTATTATTACTATTATTATTATTATTATTATTTTTTTTAATGTAAAGTTCTTGTAAAGGAAAAATGTTTTCATACTAGACCAATTTTAATTTCATGACATTGTTTGAAATGAATGTAGGATGCATGCAATGTTTCCAAAGAACGCAAAATTTAAAACTTATGAAATTGGTAAATTTTTTAAAGTTGATCCAAATAAAGATCTGAAGACATTTTCTCCTTTACTTAAACTTTGGTCTCCTTAAATAAATAAAATTTTTTTTTAAACTGAAATAGTTAAATTTCTTTTTATTATACATTTAAAGATAAATGTCCAGTTAGAAAAGTAGATAAAAAGAACTACTATTATGAGTTTAAAATGATTTGTTTTAAATTATTGATTGTTATTCAATCAATCTTTATTTCTTCATGGGTTAGTAACCCTTGGAAAAGGAAAAATTCTTTATAACTACCTCTGCAGAAAAAGACATTATTTTTATGAAAAACCAACCACATTGCATCAGGGCTGCAGAGTTGATAAAAAAACACTCAACTCTGATTCCTGATAATTTTAGTAGACCAACTCTGACTCTGGCAAAATTAAATAACAAGTCTGGCAAAATTAAATAGAGGGTTAACTTACTCTGAACTCTGAAAGGAGCCCCAGGCATTTACCCAAATACTTTTATAGTTAGTATTTTTAATATTTAACTTACATTAATATTTATTTGTATTAAAAAAAATTAATTTTTAACAAATATTTAATAAGCAGAAAAAGGGGAGTGATAAAATTCTACATCTACATATCTTTATTCCACAGCTTTGCACTTCAATTTCACCTTCCTAAAAAAGTTAGTCCAACTAAAAAGTGTGTGATCTAGCTACTTCAGCAGCCCCTTGTTCAGAAAAGAAAAAATATATATTCTGTTCAATTAGTCTGGCTCATACAGAAAAATAGAATACTTATTTAGAGCAGGAATAATAAAGGAATGAATCAAAAATATTCAAATTCAATTGGGTCAAAATAATTTAACTACTAAACACAAATACTACAAAAAATTATTGATACATATTTAATAAATTAAATTGTTGCATTTTGTATTTAAAATAAATAAATTATAACAAAATACAAAAACATTTTTAAAAATTAATAAATATAAAATAAATTTTCTTTCATTTAAATAAAAAAACTAAATTAAATTTTAAAAAACTGTTTTTGTAATTTTTTAGCATGTATTAATGGATGGTGTAATATGAAACAATTTTAAAGACAAATAAACTTGTTCAGAGAAAAACAAATGTTTTTTAAAGTCATATTCCTACTTTTATATATTCCTTTATAAGAACTAAATCTGTGTACCAGTAGTTTGTTTGGCAATATTTTTGTATCTTTTATATGCATATGAAATGTATATATTTTTTTAAAGTTATACATTGAAGAAAGATGAGGATTAAAAAAGGTTTATGCCTGAAATGCATATGTTGTTTGAATAAAATATTCCAGAGTGGTTTGTTTCACAAAAATAGCATATTTTTCTGCAGGGATAGAATAATAATGCCAATCTGTTAAAAACAAAAGGTGACTTTGTAAGTATTTTATTTAACACATTATAATAATTAAATATGATGTTATTGATTATTATTATTTTTTAATATGAAAAGACATAAGATTAAATACAAAGAAAATAAAATTTTAAAACCTAAATTAAAAAGTTTAGAGCAGAGTCAAAAAATTAAAAATTTTAATATATTTGTGAAGCATCTTCTGGTCATATCCTTATATATAATTTTAACATTCTAAATTAAAAAATTAAAGTAACCATAGCAACACAAAAAATAAATTTGTCTCANCCTATCATTGACCAAATTGTCAACCTAATCAATACACAATAGATAATTACATTAAATTTTCACAAATTGTCTAATTTAATAGAATGAAAATAAAAGTTATCAAATCAATAAAATTAATAGATTTTCCAATTATACAATTAAATTTTTAACATATACACAGTAAGGTTCAAAAGTTGTCATCCTGACCTACTTCACACACTCAGAAATATGTGTTCAGTGGCAATGTGAATCTTAACATGTGGAAATATGTAAATCCATGTTATTTTTAATAAAACATTTGTCACTTAATGCAGCAAATTTGGGTTTCACTTTAATTTTTTTATGTCTGTATAAATTTGAAATGCACCTTAAGTTGAATTTTGAGTATTATGTGGTAATAAAGTTCTTGATCATCATGATCACAAGCCATTAGAAATTCACAAATGCCTTTTTAATGTACAGTCGACCCCCCATAACACTGTTGATTTTTCCGTTTTATAAGAATTCCATGTTGTACGAGTAACTTAGATTTTACAAATACGTGTGCCGGGCTGTGAACGGCTCACATATTTGTAAAACCTAAGTTACTCGTACAACATGGTATTCATATAAAACGGAAAAATCAACAGTGTTATAGGGGGGTCGACTGTATATGGCAATTATTCTCCTTTGTATCTGAAAGTAAACAATAGGAAAAACTTTTTAAACTTGGAAGAGATTCTCTCAATGACTACTCATGC